CCCGTACGTCACAAACCACCTGACCCCAGCGAAGCATCAGCATGGTTTCCGTAAAGTGCACAGTACAACAACAGCACTTAACGCCATAAACACTCAGATAACTCGTGGCCTTAACCGTAACCGTCCCTGTGAGAGAACGATTCTAGTAGCGTTGGACTTGTCAAAGGCGTTTGACACCGTCTGCCATTCCACGCTACTAGAAGATATAGAGGCCTCCTCTCTCCCACAGAGGCTCAAACGGTGGTCGGCAAATTATCTGAGTGGTCGACATTCGTCGGTAATATTTAGAGACAAAACGAGTAAGCAGCGAAAAATAAAACAGGGGGTTCCTCAGGGTGGTGTCCTTTCCCCGCTACTGTTTAACTTTTACATTTCAAAGCTCCGTCAACCACCAGAGGGAGTCTCGATTGTCTTCTATGCCGACGATTGCTCGATCATGGCGACTGGGAATGGAATTGATGACCTGTGTTCGAAAGTAAACGGCTATCTCTCCGAACTTTCTCGCTTCATCACTGCAAAGTGTCTAGCCCTCTCCCCTACGAAATCCTCCGCGACCTTGTTCACAACCTGGACGGAGGAGGTCAGGCTACCGCTGGGGATTCTCGTCGATGACACACCAATTCCGATGGTGAATAACCCCAAAATACTCGGAGTAACATTCGACAGACTGCTCTCCTTCTCTGCGCACTCAACCGCTATTGTCAATAAAGTACAGAACCGCAACAAGGTCCTCAAGTCGCTAGCCGGCAGTACTTGGGGCAAAGACAAAGAAACGTTGCTGGCAACATACAAGGCAATAGGCCGGCCGGTTTTGAACTACGCAGCGCTAGTGTGGTCGCCAGGGACTAGTAGGACGCAGTGGACGAAGCTACATACTGTACAAAACACCGCACTCAAGACAGCGACGGGATGCCTCTTGATGTCGCTTGAACACCACCTGCACGGCGAGGCGCAAATGCTACCTGTAAAGGAGCATAATATAATGCTCTGCAAGCAGTTCCTGATCGGGAGCCACAGAAGTGGCCACCCAAGCAGACAGCTGCTTGCAGAGGAGCCCTCGCCTAGGCACGTCAGTAGGCATCTATATGAACTAACGGACGAAGTCCAGAGGTTCATTAAGCAACTTCTGGACCCGACAGCTTACAGACAGGCCCTGAACGGCATTCACAGGGACTCAGTCTCGAGTTGTGTAGACACCACCCCCGGACATTGACGAGACGGAGCTTTATCTGCCTCGGGAGACACGCACAACACTCGCACAACTTCGCTCCGGCTACTGCAGCAGGTTGAACTCCTACTTGAGTAGGTTGAATGAGGATGTGCCGAATGAGTGTCCGGCATGCGGAGAGACCCCACATGACTCGAAACATCTCTTCGTATGCCCGGAAAACCCGACAACCCTAACGGCCTTGTTCCTGTGGACAAACCCCACAGAAGCTGCACGCTTCCTAGGGTTGCCGTTAGTGGAACTTGACGACAACGACTGAGATACCAACCGATCTGGGCGGGGTTGTTGTAGCCGCTACAACAACAACAAGCAGTGGAACCACATTTCCCGCTCATTAAGTACCGCCGCCGAAGAAGTAGTCGGATTTCAGCGAGCCCGAAAGAACAACTGGTACGATGAGGAGTGTCAGGAAGCTGCAGAGAAAAAAGATGCCGCCTACAGGGCCACGCTGCGAACGGGCGCAACGCGCGCTATGTGGGACCGCTATAGGGATCTGAAGAGGGAAGCGAGACGTATTTGCCGCAACAAGAAGATAGAGGCAGAAATACGTGAGTGCGAAGAGCTTGAAATGCTGGAAAATTTTACCAGGCGACTTACGGAAGGTTTAAAGACCGGGGCGCACTCCTGTAAGAACAATAATGGCGACCTAGTAACTGATGTCCAGAGCGTACTTAAATTATGGAGGGAACACTTTTCCGCCCTACTAAATGGTAGCAGCACGGAAAGTTGTGGAGAAGAAGAACCCGATCCCGCAGTCGATGATGACGGAGTCGACGTTCCACCGCCTGACTATGAGGAGGTACGTATAGCAATAACGCGGCTGAAAAACAACAAAGCCGCTGGAGCTGACAGCCTGCCAGCTGAGCTATTCAAGTACGGCGGCGAGGAGTTGATAAGGTGCATGCATCAACTCTTGTGCAGAATATGGTCAGATGAATGCATGCCCGACGACTGGAATTTAAGTGTGCTCTGCCCAATCCACAAGAAAGGTGACCCCGCCATTCGCGCCAACTACCGCGGGATCAGCCTTCTAAGCATAGGTTACAAGGTCTTATCGAGCGTATTGTGTGAAAGACTGAAGCCCACCGTCAATAAACTGATTGGGCCTTATCAGTGTGGCTTTAGACCTGGCAAATCCACCATAGACCAGGTATTCACAATACGCCAAATCTTGGAAAAGACCCGCGAGAAAAGGATCGACACCACCTATTTGTCGACTTTAAAGCCGCTTTTGACAGCACTAAAAGGAGTTGCCTATACGCCGCTATGTCTGAATTTGGCATCCCGTCAAAACTCATACGGCTGTGTAAAATGACGTTGAGCAATACCACCAGCTCCGTCAGAATTGAAAAAGACCTCTCCGAGCCGTTCGCCACAAAACGGGGTTTCAGACAGGGCGACTCCCTTTCATGTGACTTCTTTAATCTGATATTGGAGAAAATAATAAGAGCTGCAGAACTGAACCTGCCTGTTCTGCCTTTTCCAAGTTGGATAGGGAAGCAAAGCGCATGGGTCTGGAGGTAAACGAGGACAAGACGAAGTATCTCCTGTCATCAAACAAACAGTCAGCACATTCGCGCCTTGGCACCCACGTCACTATTGACAGTTACAATTTCGAGAAAGTAGAGAATTTCGTTTACTTGGGAACCAGCATTAGCACCGATAATAATGTCAGCATTGAAATCCAACGTAAAATCACTCTTGCCAACAAGTGCTACTTTGGACTGAGTAGGCAATTCAGGAGTAAAGTCCTCTCTCGACGTACGAAAACCACGCTCTATAAGTCACTCATAATGCCCGTGCTGGTATATGGCGCAGAAGCATGGACAATGACAACATCCGATGAGGCGGCTCTTGGGGTGTTTGAGAGAAAGATTTTGCGGAAGATTTACGGTCCTTAACGCGTTGGCGACGGCGAGTACCGCAGACGATGGAACGATGAGCTGTATGAGCTTTACAACGATATGGACATAGTGCAGCGAATTAAAATACAGCGGCTCCGCTAGCTTGGTCATGTCGTTCGAATGGACAACGGCGCTCCAGCTCTG